TCTTTCCCAGGGCCTGCAGCTCTGCTATGACCCAGGGCTCCTTTCCTTCCTTGAGATGCTTAACAGGCCCAGAGGGCAACTGGTCAGAGGGTCCTGGGCCCTAAACAAAGATAGTTTGATTTCAGCCTCTGCGTGGAAACGGTTGATATGGAGGGATAGTGGAGCCTGGCAGCTCAGGTCTAGAACGCAGGGTGCTGCTATTCCATGAGTCTTTGCATCTTCCCCTACCCTGGGTCACATCATTCTCAATGGAGCTCCTCAAGGTAGATAGGGTGGGCTCTGCATCAGCCTTCCCTACAAGCCCAGCCTTTCCTACAAGCCCCCAGCTAGCGCAGGAGAACTTGCTGCCCCTCCTGCCTCCTGCAGCAAGCTTCCCGAAGGACTGGGAAATGCACGTTGACTTTGTAAGTCTCTGCCACTTAACACAGAGATGCAGGCTGCACCACAGAGGGGTTTTGTTTGGAACTTAAAACACTTGCTCAAATTAATGACCAAAAATGTCAGATGTGTCCACAGCTAATTATTCATTAGATGCTTAATTAGTGTGGGATGATCATGACATTTTAATGTTATTAATTTTTATACTGTAATAGGAATTAAATTGTTCTGCTGTCCTGAAGTCTCCAGTTGGTGTCACACTGTGGAATTGGGGGCTGGAAGGAGACGGGGGGCTGTAGGGGCAGCCAGTAGCAGCCAGACAGCTCACTGGTCAGGATCCAGAGCTGGGAGAAGTCTCCTCTAGGAGGTAGCACAGCTTCTTTAGAGCTGGACTCTTTGGATGGCCAGGCTGACAGTAGAAGCTGCTGCAGTAAAGGGAAAGGGTAGACCAGATGGCTTCTTAAGGCTCCTTCCTGCTTAGACATTCCAGGATTTCACAGTCCTCATTTGTTCACACAAAGACAGAAGAAATACCAGAAACCATCCACATGAAAACTGTCCACATGGAAGGAACCAAGGCTATCTTGCCCCAAGGAGCCACAGATGGCCACCCAAGTATCACATCTACTACCCACTTCCTGTGGTCCAGGAGAAGGGGGGCATCTGAAGGAGATGTTGTATTGTTTTAGGTAAATGAAAGTAAGTCCTGTCTGCCCATATAGGGAATCCTGTTTAGGACTTCTCACCCCTTAGTGGTCTCTTCTTTAAAAGAGTATAGCTCTATTATCATTTTGCTAATTGTGAAAATAATCTTTGCTCTTGTTTTAAAATCCACCAAGACAGTAAAGAAGATAATAGAAATCACATGAAATCCCACCATCCGGCAATCATAACTCCTAATATTTTAGTGTATAAACTTCCAAGCTACCTTTAGGCAAATACTATGTGGACTTTTTATTTTAAAAATATGCTCTTATTAGAGTACTATTTTGTACTCTACTTTTTTTTTCGCTCAATAACTTCTCATAGCATCTTTTCAGGCTAATGGACATAGATCTACATAACCCTTTATACTGGCCACATTATACGGCATCAGCCTTATCCATTCTACAAATATAAACAGTCTGTGATCACTGGACATTTAGATCTTTTCTAATTATTCACAATCAATAACAAGGATTCTTGTAATCATCCTACCTAAGTCGCTCTGGTTATACGTGTCGGGTAAATTCCTAGAGATGGACTGGCTGATTACAGAGGAACTTCTTCCTCATACGAGGAGAAACTTTGAATATACTTCTACCAAGTGTTTTCACTTCCTTGACACTGTTCTTCCACCTGTGAAATTGGCGTAGCAATCCTGTTCTGAGTGATGGCGAGGATTGCAGGTCCCGGCAAGGAGCCTGGCACTTAGTAGAGCTGCTAAATGTGAGCTCCTTTCCTGTGCAGTGCTATGTGCTCTCCGTTTACAGAGTAATATTATTATCTCTTTTCATCTTAGTATTCCAAAGGGAAGAATAAGTAAAATGGAGAGGTGGAGAAGGGCTTGGGTAAATTCCTAGTTAGGTGAAACCAGTTGAAGTGATAGAAAGAGAGGTTGATTTCTGGGGCTTGTCCTTAAACCTGCAAGGTCAGAGATGCCAAAAGCAACCAATGCATCTTGGCATCCCCATCAGAGAGAGAATATAGTATCTACTCCATCCTGGGGATGCACTTTGTGATGAACAGACACCCATCTCATAATGGGTATGGGAATCCAAGCATAGGTTTGAACCAAGATCCTGTAAAAAGAAATCCTTGCCATGGGAGGCAGTGGCCCGAGGGTGGTCTAGAAGACCCCTCCCACACCCAGCTCTGAGAGCCTGTGATCCAGGGCATTACTGAGGCCAAGCCCCTTGCTTACTAAGCATGAGCAACTGACTGAGCTGTCAGACGCTCTCAATTTCCTAGCCTGGAGAAAAAGGGCTAAGGTCTCAGAGAAGATTTTCCCATCAGGGGATAAGAGGGCATTTGGATAGCTAAGTGGTGCCTGACAAAGCCTGATGTGACAAATAGGTGTCACTACAGCTGCAGGGAGTTAGCTTAAATTTCGGAAGAACATGCAAAGGCTATGGGGTACTATCAGCAATACCTAAGACTACTTGCAGATTCTCCTTTTTGAAAAAAATACACCTGGTAAAATGAAGCTGGCAGTGGGGCCCCAGACATAGAGAAGACTCTTCCAGAGCTGTGGCTGGGCCTTTCTAGACGTCCAGTGGCTTCTGTTGCCAGTATGCCTCTTTTGTCCTATCCCCAGGCCTCCCCGTCCTGATCCTTACCCATGCCAACTTCATTAGGGGCTCTAACAGTGCAAGAATAGGGGTTCATTTAAGTGCAGACTGATGGCAGAGCAGTACCCATGGAATAAGCAGCCCGCCCTCCCTGTAGAAGTCAGCTGGATAAACAGAGCGTGAGGCTGGGCAGTCTGGTGGGCCAGAACCCTGGTCTGTTCACTCTGCCCTTGGGAGAGATGAACCTATGCCCTCCCAGATCTGGCCCAGGAGAAGGAGCCAGGCTGACCCTGGTCAGCGAGGACAGAATGTCTTACAGCTTCATGGGTTGACCCTTCTTGAAATGGAAAGCTCCCATCACTCACTGCCCGCATCTCTCTA